TTAACAATGATTCATTATGTGCATTCAAGCTCATCATTTGTTGCAATTGCATTGCGACTGCCGTAAAAAGGCAATTGCCGTCACCCGTTACCTCAACAATGTCAAATCCCCAAGTCGAGGCTAGTTCAGTAAGCCTTTTTCTGTCACTTTTTGTTGGGTCTCCAGCTACTGTTTCATTTTCCATTAATGCCTTTGTTTTTAACGGTCTAACATAAGTCACTATCTTCTTGAAATTGAATAGTTTTGGCCCCGTTTTTTCCTCAACGATCTTGCTCATTTTCCACCACTGTAAAGCGTTTCTAAGAATGACAAAGTTTTCGACATTCGCCTTTAAACTGTTCTCCACGTTTTCACCATCACTACACGTAGAACTCTCGTCATTGCTATCGATTAATGATTTAAGACTGGTTTGTATGTGAGAAATATTCTCTATAGATGTTGTTTTCAAATTTATTTTTTTATCCTCTGTAGCATTTGTCATCACATGGAAATTTATTTCGTGAACTTTGTTATTGGTTTCGTCAAGGGCTCTGCTCGATTGCGGTACTCCTGTTAACAGAATCTTCTTTCTACTGTTTATGAGCATGTCACCTATAGATGGTAAGTTTGCATCGCGTTTCCTGTTTGAGTTAAAAGGGTCCTTTCAACGCGAGTTCTTGCAATAAATTTCTGTCTGTTTTAGGAGCTTGATGATATCTTGTTAGTAAATGCAGTAAAAGGTGAGAATAGAGTTATGACATTATTAATTTACATAATACTACGAAAAGCTTCATTTGTAGGTTCCAGTCACTCAATTATTACGGTGACATTTATGTTATTTGCTTCCACGATATTTTAATCACCGTGTTTTTACTTTAATTTAAATTTCTTCAATCTTTTCTTCTTTTTTTCTCTTTATCCACCCTTCCTTAGTTCTTTTGTATCATTTTTTCCTGTAGAAGCAGAAACCATGGACAAACAAAACAAACCAACTGGCTCTAAAAAAAAAACAAGAAGAGGTATAAAAGCTTCAGAAGCTTATTGAATAGAAAATAGTGCATAATAGTGAATGGTGACACTTTAGTTAAAAAAAAATATATATAATTGTCTGCAGGCCAAAACTGTTTAAGTGCGATAGTGCTTGGCACTAGTCCCGCGTGTCTTACATGGCTTGATTTTAAAATTAATGTTTTTTCATCGTAACTTGGTTAAGTTTTCCATGTAGGGGTATATCTAACCCAGATTGTATCGTCTCGTTAATACAGGAAATATACTGGATAGCCTAAAGGACTCGCTTACTGAAAAGAGCTGAATCTGCCTGCCAAACGATCAAGGAAGAACACCTCTAAGGTAATTTGCTGAGAGAGAATTACGATCTAAGTTTGGAATCGTATTACTGCTTACGAAAAGATGGATGTTTTTCAGAAAGAAAACATTTATGACCATATAAATGGATGAGATGTCATGAACAGTGGCCAGTAGGCAGACATAACATTTCGTAAAGTAGAAGTAGAGGAAGTTAAACAGAATCAATTTGCATTTTGATAAGTAAACAGTCACAAAAAATAGACTATTTCAATATTGGTTTCTCTGCAACCAAACATAGTAATACGCTCAAGTATACAATTACAGATGTTTCTGAGGAAATGGCCATTTTGTTATCTTTTCAGTGATTGGAAATTTCACCTGAGGTGCGGAAGGAAGCCAACGCCATTCATCAGGATGACTATGTCGCCATTGCACCTTGCAGAACTCTGGAACTAAATACAACACAAATCCAGCTGTTATTACGAAGAATTTCTTATTTTCTTGAATATAGACATACATACAGAAAACATTTCTTTATCTGCATGTTTGATACTTTAAGCAAAATTATTTCTGGCTTCCGGACACAGAAGTCCTCCGCGACATTTGTAAGCTTCAATGTTCTGTTGCTGTAATTGGTGTTACTAGAGGCCATTTCCTTCCTTCAAAATGTTATCAAGCGGTAATGGACATGAATGTGACATAACGATATTAAGATCCTTTTCCAAAGAAAACAATGATAGAAAGGGAATTCTGTAGTAGCTACGAAACGCATTTTTTAATTGTCACATTAAACCTCGTGGAAAATACCGAAATGTGATGTTAGTTAAACGAGTTACGTCACAACATTACAAGTAGTTTTTGTGACATAAAAAATTACCTTTAAAAAAGAAGGAAACCATAAAATTCCAGTTTGATAGGCTGACAAACACTAAGGAGGAAAAAATAAGCCAGAAAGATACCGAGGATGGTCAAGGATAGAGAAGATTAACGTGGATTGCAAATGACGAACTTGAAAAACATTGGGATAAGTTATTCAATACGCACAAACGATGACGTAGCTCCTTTAAATGACTAATAAAAGTTCGCGTTATATTAATCAGAGTTTTTAATGTAGGGTAGTCTATGTTGCCTCCACTGAGTAGACATAATTTTGTATTGCATTAATTCGACATTCCACTCCGACATTTTGTTATATCATAACTCATTTCGGGATACAATGATTCGCAAATGTATTTAAATTGTAACAAAATAATAAAAATGTCAACCATCGATATCGTTAAATTATTCACTTAATTTCTTCTTTTGTTCCTCTATAACAGCGTAGTTAATTAAAGTGGAATGGTTGGGAAACCCTTTGCTATAGGTTTTTGTTGGCTTTTTTGGACCTGACCGTGCACAACGTTCAATAGCATTCCTATCATTTGGAAGTTTTTGACCAATAGAAACATTGCATGAATTTCTTCATTGATAATTTGTGAAAAGAAAACAAAGGATTGTGCACGGTCAGGGTGCTTCCAACATAACCTACAGCACCATTGTTTTCAACTTTGATGTTTGCCGGGTTTCCTAATTAGTCTCCTCTACTAACTATGATAAGAGTACGTACACACTGACCAGTTTGTCCTCGCGTATCCTTTGCGGGTTACATATAGCCTCTCTTACGTGGCCTAGAGTGTATGGAATGGGGTAGTTTGACGAGGAGTATGCCAATTTCTGGGCGAATTGTGTTATCACTCTTTTCTTTACCTTTCTGGGTTTTTGTTCCCAACTAATACAACTGTTACTGCTATGAAAAATCAAAAGAATTCCCTGGGAAGGGCACAAGTTGACAGATAAACCGAGGTTAACCATCCGAGCTAACATATCACTCTTCACTGCTGTCCACATATTTCATCTGATTCTCAGGATTGGAGAAATCTGTTTAAATATCTAGACAATTTTTCTACGGGACAGATCGTTAAAGTGGGTTCAAAGTAGGACGTACGGTTGTCAGTTAAGCTTCCAGTATTCTTGATAGTCGGTTCAGCTCAAGGGTGGAAATTCAAGTGACTAAGTGTTTACAAGCACTGCAGCTCTCAGCTGAGCTCTATTTAGTGCAGACGATAGAGAGAATGTTCCCACAGACAAATACCGTCGTTTAGGCGAAAAGTAGGCGCTTTGCAGCTGCACCGAACCAAAAATAAAAAGAATGTGGAATTAAGTACGGTTTCTTTGTTCGTGCAAAAATTTGAGAAATTGAAAAGTCCTGAAGAGTTGAATACAATACAAGATTCCGAACAAGATGCAACTCGCTAGGTTGAAAATTTATGCCAAACTACAGTTTGAAATTCTAGTTTACTGAAGGTTGAGGAAATAAGAAAAGTTTGGCTCAGGAAGTAGAATTGAATATGAAGAGCCTTTTAGTCTTAAAAACTTGGTAACACAGCAAACGAGGGTTTTGAAACTATTCGTCATTCAATTTTAGGCTAAAAGGTGTGGTGGTCGTCAGCCTCCTTAATGAAATAGTTCGTTGAGGATAAAACATTATGAAGTACGTTGAAATGTTAGTAAAACGTAAATATATACAAATCGATGATGAAATGCTAACTATTAGATCGATGTTGTTTAATGATCTTATTCATTTAAAATACTACTGAACCAAAACAACAATAAAACGACAAATAGATAAATATCCCTAAAATTAAATCCCAACATATTCTTCGACAATTTCACCCTGGCGATCATTTCTCTAATTAAAATAAATTTTCTAGACACATGAGTAGAATTAAATAAAATGATATGATAGCAATAATTAAAGGGCTACGAATTCTACCTTATCAAATGACCCTCTATTGTCATCATCTGTCAATTTAATGACTGACGTCGCTGTGATATCGCATTTATAGGATATTGCTCTTGAAAATGGAAAGATAAAGGAAATACAAAGAATACAACAACAACAACAAGTTTATTTAGTATTACTATATATTTTTTAACATGGTGTTACCTGTACACTGAAATACAATAATATCAAGACGAAGATTGCAAAGGAGTTACAGATGTAATAGAATGGGATAATTTATCGATTATTATTATCATTATTCTTCTTTCGTCTCTCAAATACTTGGAAGACGAAGGTAGCAGTAAGCTTGCGCATGTACGAATCAGTATTAATATTAAAAAGAAAACAGATTTTATCATTAGTATTTTAATTTGTAAATAACGTATTTCGTCATTCATTTTAGTGAAAAGAGACTTTTTAAGGACCAATGAAATAATAAGTGTATTTAATTTTCAACAATTTAGACTGCAGTGATCACAAATTCTTAGGTCTTCGGGAGTTTTGCGGATTGTAAATCTTTCAGATTTGTGATTTCCTATCTTAAATTTGAAGGCGATGCGTTTATGTTCAGGCTTCCTGATATGCTAAATGAATTCAGAGTACTTTTTTTTCGTTTGTATAGGTGGAGTAGAAGTTTAGTTTTTTTGTTTGCACTTATCAGATTGACTTGGTGGTTTTTAAAATGTACTGACAAACTGTAGGAAAGCAGAAGGGTTTTTTTTTAAAGTAACTGATTTATTTTCAATATTAAATTGTTTACATAAAAGATTTATTTTGTATATCAAACATGATTTTTTTACTAAAGGGTAGACAGGCTATACCAGGCACACAGGGTATACAGTGTATACATGGATATACAGGGAGTACATAAGTATACATGGGTATACAAGGAATGCAGGGTATACAAGGTATACAGGGTATACAGGGTATACAGGGTATACATGAGTATACAGGGTATACAGGGTATACAGGGTATACAGGGTATACAGGGTATACAGGGTATACAAGGTATACAGGGTATACAAGGTATACAGGGTATACATGAATATACAGGGTATACAGGATCTACAGGGTATACAGGGTATACATCAGTATACAGGGTATACATGAGTATACAGGGTATACAGGGTATACATGGGTATACAGGGTATACATGGGTATACAGACAATACAGGGTATACATAGGTATACAGGGTATACATGGGTATACAGGGGGTATACATACATACATACAGGGTATACAGGGTATACAGGGGTATACAGGGCATATACATACAGGTATACAGGGGTATACAGGGTATACAGGGTATACAGGGTATACAGGGTATACAGGGTATACAGGGTATACAGGGTATACAGGGTATACAGGGTATACATAGGTATACAGGGTATACAGGGTATACAGGGTATACAGCGTATACATAGGTATACAGGGTATACAGGGTATACATAGGTATACAGGGTATACAGGGTATACAGGGTATACATAGGTATACAGGGTATACATGGGTATACAGGGTATACAGGGTATACAGGGTATACATAGGTATACAGGGTATACAGGGTATACATAGGTATACAGGGTATACAGGGTATACAGGGTATACAGGGTATACAGAGTATACAGGGTATACAGGGTATACAGGGTATACAGGGTATACAGGGTATACAGGGTATACAGGGTATACAGGGTATACAGGGTATACAGGGTATACAGGGTATACAGGGTATACAGAGTATACAGGGTATACATGGTATACATAGGTATACAGGGTATACATAGGTATACAGGGTATACAGGGTATACATAAGTATACAGGGTATACATGGGTATACAGGGTATACAGGGTATACAGGGTATACAGGGTATACAGGTATACAGGGTATACAGGGTATACATGGGTATACAGGGTATACAGGGTATACATAGGTATACAGGGTATACACATGGTACATATATACAGGGTATACAGGGTATACAGGGTATACAGGGTATACAGGGTATACATAGGGTATACAGGGTATACAGGGTATACAGGGTATACAGGGCATACAGGGTATACAGGGTATACAGGTATACATGGGTATACAGGGTATACAGGGTATACAGGGTATACAGGGTATACAGGGTATACAGGGTATACAGGGTATACATAGGTATACAGGGTATACAGGGTATACATATAGGTATACAGGGTATACAGGGTATACAGGGTATACAGGGTATACAGGGCATACAGGGTATACAGGGTATACAGGGTATACAGGGTATACAGGGTATACAGGGTATACAGGGTATACAGGGTATACAGGCATACAGGGTATACAGGGTATACAGGGTATACAGGGTATACAGGGTATACAGAGTATACAGGGTATACAGGGTATACAGGGTATACATAGGCATACAGGGTATACAGGGTATACACAGGGTATACAGGGTATACACAGGGTATACAGGGTATACATGGGTATACAGGGTATACAGGGTATACAGGGTATACAGGGTATACAGGGTATACAGGGTATACAGGGTATACATGGGTATACAGGGTATACAGGGTATACAGGGTATACAGGGTATACAGGTATACAGGGGTATACATAGGTATACAGGGTATACAGGGTATACATAGGTATACAGGGTATACAGGGGGTATACAGGGTATACATAGGTATACAGGGTATACAGGGTATACAGGTATACAGGGTATACAGGGTATACAGGGTATACATAGGTATACAGGGTATACATACAGGGTATACAGGGTATACAGGGTATACAGGGTATACAGGGTATACAGGGTATACATAGGGTATACAGTATATACAGGGTATACATAGGTATACAGGGTATACAGGGTATACATACAGGTATACAGGGTATACAGGGGGTATACAGGGTATACAGGGTATACACAGGGTATACATAGGGTATACAGGGTATACAGGGTATACATAAGTATACAGGGTATACAGGGTATACATGGGTATATGGGCATACAGGGTATACAGGGTATACATAGTATACAGGGTATACACATAGGTATACAGGGTATACATAGGTATACAGGGGGTATACAGGGTATACAGGGTATACAGGGTATACAGGGTATACATACAGGGTATACAGGGTATACAGGGTATACAGGGTATACAGGGTATACATAGGTATACAGGGTATACATACAGGGTATACAGGGTATACATGGGTATACAGGGTATACAGGGTATACAGGGTATACACAGGGTATACAGGGTATACAGGGTATACAGGGTATACAGGGTATACAGGGTATATACATACAGGGTATACATAAGGTATACAGGGTATACAGGTATACATACAGGTATACAGGGTATACAGGGTATACAGGGTATACAGGGTATACAGGGTATACAGGGTATACAGGGTATACAGGGTATACAAATACAGGGTATACAGGGTATACAGGTATACAGTATACAGGTATACATAGGTATACAGGGTATACAGGGTATACAGGGTATACAGGGTATACAGGGTATACAGGGGGTATACAGTATACAGGGTATACAGGGTATACAGGGTATACATACAGGGTATACAGGGTATACAGGGTATACAGGGTATACAGGGTATACACAGGGTATACAGGGTATACAGGGTATACAGGGTATACAGGGTATACATACAGGGGTATACAGGGTATACATATAAGGTATACAGGGTATACAGGGTATACATAGGTATACAGGGTATACAGGGTATACAGGGTATACAGGGGTATACAGGGTATACATACAGGGTATACAGGGTATACAGGGTATACAGGGGTATACAGGGTATACAGGGTATATACAGGGTATACATACAGGGTATACAGGGTATACAGGGTATACAGGGTATACAGGGTATACAGGGTATACAGGGTATACATGGGTATACATAGGGTATACAGGGTATACAGGGTATACAGGGGGGTATACATACAGGTATACAGGGTATACAGGGTATACAGGGTATACAGGGTATACATGGGTATACAGGGTATACAGGGTATACATAGGTATACAGGGTATACATGGGTATACAGGGTATACAGGGTATACATGGGTATACAGGGTATACAGGGTATACATACAGGTATATACAGGGTATACATAAGTATACAGGGTATACACATACAGGGTATACAGGGTATACAGGGTATACAGGTATACAGGGTATACAGGGTATACAGGGTATACAGGGTATACAGGGTATACATAGGTATACAGGGTATATATGGGTATACAGGGTATACAGGGTATACAGGGTATACAGGGTATACATGGGTATACAGGGTATACAGGGTATACATAGGTATACAGGGTATACAGGGTATACATAGGTATACAGGGTATACAGGGTATACAGGGTATACATAGGTATACAGGGTATACAGGGTATACATAGGTATACAGGGTATACAGGGTATACATAGGTATACAGGGTATACAGGGTATACAGGGTATACAGGGTATACATGGTATACATAGGTATACAGGGTATACAGGGTATACATAGGTATACAGGGTATACAGGGTATACATAAGTATACAGGGTATACATGGGTATACAGGGTATACAGGGTATACAGGGTATACATAGGTATACAGGGTATACAGGGTATACATAGGTATACAGGGTATACAGGGTATACATGGGTATACAGGGTATACATGGGTATACAGGGTATACAGGGTATACAGGGTATACATAGGTATACAGGGTATACATAAGTATACAGGGTATACATGGGTATACAGGGTATACAGGGTATACAGGGTATACAGAGTATACAGGGTATACAGGGTATACATAGGTATACAGGGTATACAGGGTATACAGGGTATACAGGGTATACAGGGTATACAGGGTATACAGGGTATACAGAGTATACAGGGTATACAGGGTATACATAGGTATACAGGGTATACAGGGTATACATAGGTATACAGGGTATACAGGGTATACATAGGTATACAGGGTATACAAGGTATACAGCGTATACATAGGTATACAGGGTATACAGGGTATACATAGGTATACAGGGTATACAGGGTATACATAGGTATACAGGGTATACATGGGTATACAGGGTATACAGGGTATACAGGGAGATAAACAATCTATTACTATTACATGAAGGATATATCTATTT